TTATTTGATTTAGAGCCATATAAAACCCACTTTTGTATTATTTGTTAAATTGTATTTAAGTGTGAAAGCCATGATATAAACATTATAAACTAACATTTAACATTTAAATATTTAATAATAATAATATAAATACTAAAATAATAAAATTTCTATTTCGAAATACAATATTGTAAACAATAATGGGAAAAACACTCAATAATCCAACTGTGTCATGTCATAAATGAAACTTATCGCAGCAAAACAACGACAGCCAATCTAAATCGAATGTTCCACGCCGTGGATTGTTTATCGTACCAGTCTTATTAGAAAAATAATTAGCTAGGTCATAAATATAATTATAAAATTAGGATTTCAATCATATCTTTCACCAAATTTCATGTTAAAACACACATAAATAAATAAGTAAATATTTGATGTTTACTAATCTCGGAAGTTTGAGTTTCTGCTATCTCGACTTGGTCCTTGATACACAGCAGTTCGTTGTAATATCATACGTTAGGTCTGGAATATTTTCCACTGATACACCTGACCGTTTCTTATTTTCAATAGCATTGTAGCATTTGTTAAAAATAGTGCACATATATTTATTTTTTGGTTCAATTTCTCTACTGTAAAATCAAATTTATACGGCTTTAAAGTGTCCAAAATTTTTTGGAATTCTCTAAATAATAATAGATTAATTCTTTATAGCAAAATTTAAAATTAAAACATTTAAACGACGAAAAAAGTCGTCTATTAAAAACTTATGTAATAACTTTAATAATATATGAATTATACCCGATGATAAATTATGTCATACAAATCAAATTGTTCAAAAAATAATTCCTCCTAATGCTTACCCTATAAATATAAATCAGTATACATATCCAATGTGACATAAAGAAAAACTTGATAAACAATTAAAAAATCTTTTAGAGCAAGGTATCATTGAAAAGTCAAATAGTCCATGGAATTCGCCTTTATAGGTGATCCCAAAAAAATGTGATGTGTCTGTTAAAAATAAATGGCATATAGTCCTAAATTTTCATAAACTAAATAATTGCGATTCTTATAATTTTCCTGGATTGTTTCAATATTTAGAAATTTAAAAAATATTAAACACATTTTTATTCCTAAACATAAAAATATTAACTGATTCGGATCAATGCTTAGGTGTATTTAAAAAATTCACTATTAAAATTGGCAAACAAAAAAAAATTCTTTTAAATATGTTAATACTATTACTTTTTATAAATATAAACTAATACTATACTTACATGTAAATATTTTAACAACTCTTTGCAATTAAATTTAAATTATAAGTCTTCTTTTAGTGCAATGGGAGTGTAACTTTCGATAATATAAAAGATTTTTTTTTAGATAATAATTTTAATTAATTTTAGTCATTATTTTTGTATAGAGATATCAAAATTCCATTAGTTGTAATTAAAATTTTAATAAAATAAAAAAATATTTACAGAAATCCATAATAATTTTTTTATAGTAATATAAAAAATGTAAATTTAATGTTTAAAAATTAATTTAATTAACAAAGAATTCTAAATTTTAAACATCAAATTGTATAAAGGAATATATATTTTTCTTTTGTTTTATACTTTTTTTATATTCATAAAAATTATGATCTAAATTATTTTTACTATGTCAGAAATATTTATTAACGATACTTTTTAAAAAAGGCACTAGTATTAAATTTACTCAATACCTACAAAAAGTATGAACCAATAAGTTAATACTTATTAGAGTCATTATGTTACCTTAACTATATAATATGTTAAGTAGAAAAAATGATACATGAAAAATGTATTGGTAAAAATTAATAAAGTTATATTTATTAACAAAATTAAATTATGTCTTTTAGAAAGGCTAGATACAAAAATAGTGCTTATTATTATTATTGTAAAAAAAAAAATTTAAAAACATGCAAAATCATGTTTGAGTATCGTATTACTGACTTGATAAATTTATTAGATTAGAATCATAATATTAAGTAAAAAATAAAATAACAGGAAATTATCAAAAATCATATTTTAACAAATTTTATATTTCATATATACCTTATCCATCAATATATATCTTCAATGCTTTTATTTTCCAAAAAAAATATAAATAAATTTTCTATTGATGTGTAGAATTTATTTGTCAATTCCGAATCGAAACTTTTACTTTTAATATATTAATAAAAAAAATTTCAAAAAAAAAATTTTGAACTTTACAACGAATTATTTTATTTTATGTTTAAATATACATATATTTTATGTTGAAATAACTGTCATATAACCATATCTGTATTTCAAAAGGCTATAAATAACGATCGGATCAACATGTGACCTTGAAATTTTATATTTTGTTTAAGCAATATACTAGATTTGAGTTTTCATAATTATTTTAAAATTATGAGTACATTTTAAAATGAGACTTATGAGCGCCTAAAATTCGATGTTCCGGAAAATGTTCCGGAAGGTCTGACACTTTTATATACAGAGTGGGCCACCACTCACTGACAACTTAAATAACATTTGATCCAGTTAATATTTTTAGCTGATTTTTTTTTTAAATATTAGTTAGACGTTAGGTCTATAACTATATCTCAATAATTAATTTTTTTACATTTTATTAAAAATATTAATTATTTTAAAATTTTAAATAAAAAGTAAAAAAAAAATCTAAGATAGCTATTTTGTAGAGTAGAATTTAAGAAAAATTTTAGTAAAAAAATATCTTATTAATATTCAGTAGTAAATATTCTGTAGCGTTTTGAAGTTTGTGAAAATTTGAATTTTCATGTACTATTTTACGGT